CTCTACTGTTTATAATATTTGTCTCTTCATTATTAATATTGACAAAAAATTGTTTACCTTCATCAAACCATAATTTTTTAAAATTAACGTTGTTTTCATATATCTTATAAACATTAGTTTTCTTCATGAAATTCAAACTGTCTACCATAATATTTTGCTTATTATCCCAAAATTTATTATTCTCCATTAATTTTTCCAATTCTTCTAATCCACTAATAATATTTGGCTCTCTTCTTAATATCTTCTTATAAATATATTTATGGATTAAATATTTCCATCTTAGTTTTAGAGGTAATTCTCCACTTTCAACTAACATTGCATTTATTGGCGTGGATTTCATTGCGCCAATACATATTCTGATACATCTATATTGTACTTTATCCAACACCTTTACATGTGGACTACTGTGATAAGCAATGCTACCATAATCTAAAATTGGTCTAATCAAAGTTTTATATAGCTCTAAACTCGTTTGTGGATGAGCACCCCACCATGTTTTGTTCACCACTCTTAATAGGTTTATCCTTTTTTCTATTTTCTTTTTAATATCTTGTATACATTCTTTAAATTTCAATTTTTGATCCAACTTGACTCCTAAAAATTTATTACTATTTTTAACCGCTATTGAATGCTCTTCCGTACTAATATGAGTTGGTAAATCATTCAACCTATGTCTTGTGAATACCCCTATCGAGCTTTTCTCATCCGAAAGTTCCAAGCCTTTATCCCTCAACCATTCATGAAGTTTTTTAATATTTTCCTTCATAATATTAAACGCTAGATTTAAATCCCTTTGTTCTACATAAATGAGTATGTCATCGGCATATTGTATAATATTCGTACCTCTTACCCAAATATTATCTATATCTCTTACATATATAGCATACAATAATGGGCTAAGTATACCTCCTTGTGGTAGTCCTTTATTCACTACTCTTTCACCAATTATTTTGTTATCTTTCTTAACTATTATATTCCTTTCATATATATTAAATGTTAAGGCTGACACCAATCGGAATGGTAATCCTATTTTAATTAATTCTTGGAACATTATACTTGGGACGACATTATCATATGCCCCTTTAATATCGCAAAAGAGTGCCACCACATAATTATTTCTTGAAAATGCCAAATTAATATCAACCATTAATTTACATAAATTATCCTTCGTACTCAGCCCTCTTCTGAATCCGTATTGACTTTTAGAAAATATTTTATTTTTCTCTACAAACCACTCCAATCTTCTTTTTATCATTAAATCTTTGGTTTTAGCAACACACGATGCTAGTGATATAGGTCTGTAATTATCTGTATTATCTGCATTTCCATTTGTCTTTTTAAAGAGAATTATATTATATTTATTCCAGTCTCTAACTATTTGTGTATCCAACCAATACTTATTGATTAATCTTAATAGCACTTCCTTACCTATATTTGGTAATTCAGATAACATAACGTAATGAATATTATCTATTCCTGGTGCAGTGTCTTTTCTCCTATTCATTGCGACGTCCATCTCCCATATATTAAACGGTTTCATGACTTCTTTGATATAGTTTTTATCTTTCAAGTATTGCAATCTCATACAACTATCCTTTACTCCCATTGGGGCTATTTTATTCAATAACATATCTATCCAATTGTTGTCGCATCTTTTATTTTCTTTTTCAGTATCTTCTCCAATATTTTTCAATCTTTTAATCATACTATATTTGCTTGGTTGGTGTGTTTGGGTTCAGAGTTTTAATGTAGTTATCCCAGCTTTCTTTTTTCTTTTGCTTTAACTTTGCTCTTACCTCATTTTTAACAAGATTACATTGTAAATAGTTTTCTAAGTTCATATTTTTCCTATATTTTTTTTCTGCTTCTCTCCTTTTTTTAATTAAGGTATTACATTCTTCATCCCACCAAATTTGTTTTATTATCCTTTTTTTACTATTCCTTCAGTTTTTGGGATACTCTTCATTGCTGCTTCATTAACAATATCCACAAAAGTGTCATAATTTATTTCTTTTTTTGAAATCTTAATTGTTTCAATTTTCTCTTCAATTTCTTTTCTATATTGCTCCCAATTAGCCTTACTACACCTCCATTTTCTATTAGATGTAGTTTCATCAAAGATCTTTTTTTCATTTAATTCCATTATTATTGGATAATGATCTGAGCCTAGATCATCATTATACATATCCCATACTATTTTATGTGCTATGTCTGAAGAGCAGATAGTAATATCAACTATTGATTTACATATTCTATTACTAATTACTTTATTATTATCGTTTAATATAAAAAGTTGGTTCTCCTCTATCGCTTCCAGTAGTCTACGTCCTTTTGTATCTTCATAGTCACAACCCCAAGCTTGACTATGGACATTAAAATCTCCTCCAATTATACAGGGTTTTTTAATTCCATTCAGTAAACTATTCCATTGCCCTTCTGAAATATTAGCCTTTGGTGAAACATATAATGATACACATACTATTTTCTTACTTCCTAATAATATTTCTGCAGCACACATTTGACACAAATCCATATTAATGTATTCCCTATTAATTTTATATTCTTTAAACTTCATATTTTTATTAATCAATATAGCAGTTCCTCCTTTTCCATCTAATCTGTCTTCTCTAATTATAATAAAATTTTTAAACTTGTATTCCTGAGTTATTTTAAACCAAGTCTCAGATATCAAAATAACATCAATGTTTTCTTCATAATAAAATTCTCTAAACTTTCTCTATTTGACGGTAAAGATCTTGCATTCCATTGCATAATTTTAATATTTTTATTTTTAAATTTTTTCATATTTAAAATATTAGTTTTATTTTTTCCATAATAACTCTACTTGCCATAATTGTTTTGTTGTTGAATTTATTATATTTTAAACTATTATTCCGTACCTGTATCTTCAATAGCATTGCCTATTTTATTAGTTTCCATCATTGCTTTTTCAGTACACAATGATTCTATTTCTTCTTCCAGGGCTGTCCATATATTCTCTGTGTTTATCTCTGTTTTAAAACTTAATCTGTGCCTTATTTTGTTAAAAATTTCTTTGAATTGTTGCTTCATCTTTTTTTTTTTTTCTTTTTCATCTTCATTTTTATTTGGGTTATTTTCTTCACTATTGTATTTCGTTACTTCCTTTCTCCTTTCCTTGTATTCTTCTGCATTTATTCTTCTTTGTCTTCCTTCAATTCTTAATGTCGTGTGCTTAGGTTTTCTAATTTTCAATATATTTTCTTCATTAATTTCTACTTCTTTTTCTTTAATATGATTTAACATTTCAAACTTGTTATTATTAAATCTGTTTAATTGATTATCTGATTGTTTAATTAATGAAGGAAATACATTTTGATAATCTCTGTTATAAAATTTGGTCTGTACTATATCTGCATATGTTCTCTTACGCAATATTTGCTTAGCTTCACTTATAGAAATATTCTGATATGCTTTCAACTCCTTTAATTTTTTATTATATAAATACGTTTGACAATTTCTATCATTCGCTTGATGATTATTTCGGCATAAAGCACATATTCTATTTGGCTCACACATTCTTTTACATCATGTTCATCCGAACATTTTCTACATCTTTGCCTGCCCTGGCACTGAAGACGAATATGGCCAAACCTCCAGCATTTGTGGCACTGTATAACATTTTCAATAAAAGGTTGAACCTCGCAAGCTACTGAATGAATAAATACATTTTCTGGAAGATAACTGCCCCTGAACCAAATCTTCACTCTTTGTGTTTTATAGCTGCTATTATATGCCTTTTTATTTTTAATACACTTCACTTTAATAATTTCAACATCCGTTTTAATGCAACTCATGATTTCATCTTCTTCAATCTCTGGGTCTACATTAAATATAATACCTATTCTCGTAGTTTTATGCTTCGGAATATAAGTTTTAATATTATACTCGTCCAGTAATTTCTGTTTTACCACTGTATTAGCACTCTTCCAATCATTAAAACATATTTTATTTTATTTATACCTATAGCTGCAACATTACTTATCTTATTACTAACACTTGACACTTTTGTATGTAAAATTCTTCCTAACGCCATTGGATGTAGTCTACCCAAATTTTTATCTTTTGATTCTGCATATATAACAAATGGACCTTCGTTCCTTTCATCATAATAGAAAAACTCCTCTTCATAGGTTTTTTTATTTAAATTACTATCCATTTCTTCATTTACTTCACTTGCCCAATCGATATTTACATCGTTTTCATTAATTCCATCATTATTAGTTTCTCTAAACGTGTTTTGTTAACTTGTACTTTAATGTCACCTTTTTCCTTATCACACTTAACTTTTCGCGATTCTTATCAAATATTTTATTACGAACAATCTTCTTTTCTTTCTAAAATCTATTACTCCCTTTTTAATACTTTTCTTATTACTTTTTTATATTCACAATTTTTAACTAAATTAATTTCACTAACTTTTGTTTCATTAATATTATTATCCAAATCATTTATTTCATAATCACTAATGTCATCCATTTCGTATTCAAACTCTTCTATTGACGTAATTCTGTTATCAACTGGATTCAATTCACAATCCTCAAAATCATGATGACCACTGTCATCGTCGTCACTTTCCTGGCCGTACTGGCCAGATTCCATTGTTCACTTACTGACTCACTCGCTCTTATCAGATTATGTAAATTTATTTACCGATGTGTATCGCACGAATGCTCGATGCAGGAATTGATTATTTAACAATTCTAATGTAATATTATTAGAATTGGAGTCTAGCACATCAATATTATAAGTTGTGGTGTAAATAAATTAACATATATAACCATAATAGTAATGTTTAAATAACTAATATTTCATAAGATTAATAAACTAAGGATTAACGAAATTGGCCTAAAATCTTAGAGCAAGTTCCAATTCAATCAATAATATGTCCAGGTTTATATAATGAAATAAATAATGGCTTATCTGGTGTAAAAAAACTTATTTAATTTGGAGTAGTTTCTTTTAATATTTCGAAATATTTCTATATCTCAAATAATTTAGTATTTTTGTGATATTACTTGACATAAATAGAATAATTACAGATTTGATATTTAATAGAACATTTGTGCAAAATTAAATAATGATGACTGATAATAGAGCAACTGGCCCATTAGATCATGGAGGTTTGCAACAAACTCTTCCTACAAAGATATTTGTGCAAAGAGATTATAATGATGGAACCTCTGTAAAATTTCAAACTAGGTTTCCTCCAGAACTGGAAAATAGGATTGATAGGCAAGCTTTTGAACACACGATTAATCAATTAAATTTGTATTTTGCTGAAGCTGAAAAAGCAGCTTGTAGTACATATTGCGAAGGATGTCTTGCTTGTTTAACTGCCTATCTAATATATTTGCACTGAGACGCATTATGAAAAATGTCTTCGGAAAATATCTAAAATATGATAGCATCACAAATGAAAGAGTTTATATTCCAAGAGTTTACTACTTACAGATCCGACACAAAGAGGCTTGCGTGTAATTGAAATTTCATTTCTTGACAGACAGGGTCCTACGTGACTGACAATCTCACATTCAACAGAAGAATTTTTTATGTAAACAATGTATTTTTAATATATAATCAAGACTTTTGAGATTATGTATATTCTTCTATCTATATTGAAACTTAATATAAGTTGGCTTATGTAGCACATAATGCATTTATATGAAATAATTATCACAAAGAGTTGCCGAAGATGTATATACTATTAAATGGTAGGTGGTGTTAGTTTTGTCTGAACTATATATTCATAGATAAAGGACTTGCGCTATATTTTAAGGCAATAAGCAATTTTGTACCAGAGTTCATTTTCATGTATGTATTTAAATTTACAGATTTTTTAATATTTATATCTTTTGTAATAACTATTATAAACCCATTAATTTAATAAATGAAGGCAAATGAAGTGTTGATTTGACGGAAAACGTGGCGGTATCTTCGAGTGGATCCAAATTACTCGTACTGGAGAAATCACTCGGATGGTGCTTCACGTTCCTGGTGAATGCCTCAAAATAGTAGGCTAGTCGATTCCGACGTCGCTATCGTATCAGTATTGGATTATGGCGGTTCTGGCGTCGCTATCGTATCAGTATTGGTTTCGAGCAAAAGCAGCAAAAGCGTCTCTTAATTTCACCGTAAATTACACAACAACGATAAACTTTGTCAATGCTTAATTCACTGCGCACAACAATTTTAATATTATTAAGTATATTTGTAAGATATGCTTTGAATACTTTTACAGTTTCACTTTCACAATCACCTTCAATTTAATCTCAGTTATTACAGGTACATTTATTAGATAGACTAATAAGCATTTGTCTAATAACTGGTTTGTCCAAAGCTTAAATGCGTGGCTCACAAAACGTTGATTAAAATCAACTTTAAAATCCGGCTCGAAGGACCAAATGGAGCGATTTACAATGCGTCGACTGGTTGATGCTTCGATAGTAGACTGTAAATTTCATCGATCGACGAAATGTGAAATCTCCACGATGATTGTTTTAGAAAATGAAAGTCCTGTTATCTTCATATTGAATTTATTTATTCTATTTTACAAATATGTCCTTCTTCTTTGACTGTTAATACTAGACTAAAAATTTATCCCAATTTCAGGCCGACGGAATACATTTTATTGACTTGTTTTATAAACCTAATTATATGAGCCGTCGAACCTCGGCAGAATCGTTCCCTATTTACGGGATTAACAAAATTCCTCCTGACCGTTATATGAAATGATATTTTATAATTTTACGGCGACGGTTACACCAGATGTTTTAGTTTAAAAAATCATCCAGTCGGTTTGAAGCAGATAATACTAGTTTGTTGTACTTTCAGATGTTTTCCTTCTGCCTCTAATGTACTAACAGTTGTATGCCTATAAACAAATTGCTATAAAACCAAAATATAAACCGAAACCCTCCTCTGTTAAAATCGTTTCCATCTTCATTACATCAGCTATATTTTCAAAGCAAAACGAATGTTCTGAACTTAGGCATGACAATATCACGTTTTGCTTCTTTGTGAGAAGCTGTAAATGCAAACATTTCTGCCTGATTTTTCTTAATTTCTTGAAGATCAAGCAATAAATTTTCAAACATCATTGATAAGTACTCTAATGACCTGTCAGTCTTTGTTCGATTCTTTCTCCATTTCTTAACAATGAATAAAAAGTTACTATTATACAGTAAATGATAAGCATCACGCTAAAGAAGTGCCAAAATTTTTGTTTAAAGAAGGAATTGTTGAATGAAAAAGAGGATTGGAATAATGAATTTATACATTTACCAAGAAAAATTGAAATCTGTGTATTTGCTAATATCAACCCGTTATGGTCTATAGCCAAGAGATAAGATCAGGTGAAATGTTAGTAAAAAAGGGAAACCACATCTAAACTTACGAAGGAAAAAATCAGACGTACAATGAGGGGTGTGTAAGTTGGGAAATGAGTTCAATGGAATTTTAACAAAATAGGGAGAATTATGAGTGACATTAGATAAAATTGAACTAATGAATTTGGATATTTGCATAGAGTGGAATTTAAGTCAGCGACTATTGGTCGAAGAGGAAAACGTCTTTTATGAATTTTGGGGAGACAATAAAGTTTTGGGGCAATAGGATTAAAGGTTTTT